AGCCCCTCAAGGCTCCCAAGCGAGTCGGAAACCTACAGTTAGTAGAGCTGCCCCCGAAGGTCAAGCTCCTTTTGGCTTCTCGTAGGAGTGGACGACCAACGTCATTACGAGGCTGATGCAGCGCAGTCATGGCCCCGAACTTCCGACTCACACTCACAACAACATTATGCCCTTGCAAGGGGGGGGGGCAGAACATGTATGTTGTGGTCTCACAAGCACTCATCCAGGAAGGTAATCCCATGAGATGATGTAGAAACAGCCATATGAGAAGTTACTACAGAACGACCACCCGCTTAGGCGGAAAGGTCAGGCCACACGTTGGCTAAATAAGGATAGGGAGAGTGGATCGTGAGTCGCTCCCAGAACTTAAGGGCTAAAGTGCCGAGTTGATAAAAGACCTCAACACCACATGAGACCTAGTTGCTTTTTCGGCAAGGGCAAGACTAAGGATAAGGAGAGAGGACTATAAGTCACTCCCTAAGCCTAAGGGCTATGGTGTCGAGTTGACAAAAGACGTTGGCACAATACAAGACCTAGTCACCTCTTCGGCATGGGCAGATAAGTCTTAGTCGCCTCTTCGGCATGGGAAAATAAGTCTTAGTCGCCTCTTCAGCATAGGCGTGCTAAGACCCAATCACCTCTTCGACATGGGCAAAATCAAGGATAAGGAGAGTGGGCCGCAAGTCGCTCCTAGAGCCTAAGGGCTAAGGTGCCAAGTTGATAAAAGACCTCGGCACCACATGAGACCTAGTTGCTTCTTTGGCATGGGCAAGACCAAGGATAAGGAGAGATGACTATAAGTCACTCCCTGAGCCTAAGGGCTATGGTGTCGAGCTGACAAAAGACCTCGGCACAATACAAGACCTAGTCGCCTCTTTGGCATAGGCGTGTTAAGTCCCAGTCGCCTCTTCGGCATGGGCAGATAAGTCCTAGTCGCCTCTTCGGCATGGGCAAAATCAAGGATAAGGAGAGTGGACCGCGAGTCGCTTCCAGAGCCTAAGGGCTAAGGTGCCGAGCTAATAAAAGACATCGACACCACATAAGACCCAGTCGCCACTTTTGCATGGGCAAAATAAAAGTAGTTCGCATTTAGCATGAGAAAGATAATAAAGGAAAGACTACTTCACTTTCAACACTATGACAGACACAAACTTAATCGATCTCTTCATAGTAGATCACCTTGGTTTCAGGCTCCACATCGAACTCGCTAGCTACTCTTTTGAGAACTAGCTCGAAGGACACTGTGTCGAAGTCTACCTAGGTGGAGCGACTTGATAAAGCAATCACACAGAACCCCCTCTTGAGGATGGCATGATAAACTTCACTCTTGAGGTAATGGTTGGATTGCATAACCCCTTGACGGTTTCATCCCTAATAAGGTAGATGTCCTCGAGGTATGTGCTCCACCTCTCCTCGAGCGGATGAATTCGTTCTCGTGCCCCGATAATCAAGACGGTGAGGTCCTACGTAAGGCTGCAAACACTTGGACTCTTCTGACCTGAGAAGCAAATTAGACTGACGCTTACGATTACGAGCTTATCGAATCAGTCATTCCAGGCCAAAAGGAGCGATCTACTCCCTTCGCCGAGCTACTTTCAGCTTGGGAGTGGGGGGCAATTGGTGAGGGTGGATTTTGCCCTCTAATGACATTGTGACACATGGCATCCTAAAACAATTGGACGACACCCAAACGCCACGTAGGTGATGATTTGGAGTCCTAGATTGTAGTTCGTCTTCGCCCCAACTTGGCGACTTGCCTTTACCACCAACCTAGCGACTTCGACCACAACTTCGGCCGGCTAGGAGCACCTCGTCTAGGGCCGACCTATAGTACCTTGTCATTGGTCGATGTGACCTCAACATGAGGAGCGACCTCCCTTGAGGGCTTGCCGACTTGACTGAGGTCCAGGAGGTGACCTGCGAGTTGTGCTTGCCGACAAATTCGGTATGCATATCCCGACACTCCCAAGTTTCTCGGAAGTTGGCCCACGTACCGAGTGTTCCGGAGGATGGCCAACATGCGTGGCGGTTACCTCTGGGGATCTCGAACCGGTTAGGCGACCTCCTGGAAATCTCGGATGCGGTGCGTGAAGCCCATGCCAAACAAAGCCTATATAAAGGCACCAACCCCAATGATACGAAAAGGTACGCGCGATTATTTGCTCACTAGCTCTCTCTACACTTAAGCTTTCAACTCACAACCATGACAACACAATACTGACTTAAGCATCAGAGTAACCTCGCCGGGTCAGCCACCTTGGGTATTTTAACATTGATTCCTTGCAGGTTTCTCTGAACAGCTACCTAGCTTGACAATCAACCTAGCTCGACACTCAATCTACCCCAGCTCAGCATCTAAGTCCTCATCCAGCAAAAATCCTCCACTTCGGCCTTTGAGTCATCGGCCACCTGGAAGTAGTTCGAACAACAGGGTGCTGCTAAAAAACATGCTTCATCAATTCTTTTTTATATCATGAGTGATCTCAAACTACCAATCAATTGAATAATATGATGAATACATCAAATATTTGATGGAAGAGGAAGACATGAACATGAAAATTGTATTAAAATATAGTTTTATTAAGTATGTATTTAGAAGTGCGAGC